CTTCTGAGAGAGTGGAGGAGGATGTATTCTTCTCTATTTCTCTATGTAGAATGAGAAACCTAGGACATTATATGAAAAACCAACATRAAAATAGTCCTAGAGGCAGAGAAAAACCAAACTGGTAAGGACCTCAGATAATAAGGAACAATACAGTAGTGAGTTCCATGATTTTCTTTTTATTTTACGTATCTCAGATTGAGGTCTGAAAAAAACTGGCAACTGCAGACGTTATTAGCAACAGACAGGACRAAAGTCCAGCAAAAGCCTAACAAGCCAGAAAACTTCTAGATAATACCTTCTTGGCCCCAGCCAAACACCACCCCTGCCAGCAAAGTCTGGGTTGTGAGCCTAGACATYGACTCTTGCCAGACTATAAATAGAGTCCTCAGACTCCTGCTATGGCCACGGCAGAGAAAGTCAAGTGGGGAGCCAGGACTTTATTTAATACTGAGCGGTAGTGAGCTTCTCCCCCTGCCCCCCCCCCTAGTGGCGGGGGAGAGAATGTGGGTTGTCAAGACTGCCACTCCAATTAGCAGTAATGAGGCACCCCTCCYCACTCTTCATTGTGGTAGTATCCAAGGAAGCCCAAGTCAGGAGTTTTACCTCCACTCACCAAAAACAAGGCCACCTTCCCACAGTGGCAGTAGAGGCCATATGAGAAGCAATAAGCAGATATCTCTCCCCATCTCTGCTAGGGTGATGTCAGTGGAACCTAGTGGGAAGCCTGAACTTTCCCTCTGCCAGCTGTAACAAAGGGCCCCTCCTCAACCAAGTATTAGAGGGACAAATGGAGATCTTGGACTTTCCTCTTCATATGCCAATACACAGAGTATTTCTGCTTCMTCTGCTGGAGCTGTCAGAGGACAATCTCAAGCTGAATAGATAACCAACAGACACCAATGCCAGGATAATAYAGATGTTAGAATTATCGGACAAGAATTGTAAAGTAGACATCGTACCAATGCTTCAATGACAATCATAAATGTGCTCGAAACAAGTGAAAAACTTGAAAGCTTCAGCAAAGAAATAGTTTCCATTACTGTAGATTTGAAATATATATTTTGAAATCRGGAAATGGTGTCTTTGGCTTTGTTCTTTTATGTTCAAGATTGCTTTGACTATTTGGGGACTTTTCTGATTTCATAGGAATTTTAGGATTTTTTTTTTCATTTCTATGAAAAATGCCACTGGAATTTTAATAGGGTTTACATTGAATCTGCAAACTACTTTGGGAAGTAGTCTTTTAACCACATTAACAACATTAATTCTTCCAATCCATGAACATGGGATGCCTCCCCCCTACTTTCACTTCATCTTCAATTTTTTATATCAATGTGTTAGTTTTCAGTGTTCAGACTTTTTACTGCCTTGGTGAAACATAACTGATGTCATATTTTTGATGCTATTGTGAATGGAATTTTTTTCTTTATTTTTCAAATAGTTTATTGTTAATGTGTGGAAATGCAATTGATTYTTGTATGGTGAGAATTTTTACAAGGGTATTTTTTTGTGTGTGTGGGTTTAGTAAAAAGAATGAGCATCTACCATACTAGAAACTGCTGAATCATTTTTGGATGTGGTTGTTCTGCAAGGTACTCCTGCCAGCTGTGAGGAAAAGCATCTGCTGCTCCACACTGCTCAACCCTCGAGGCTATCAGACTTTTACTTTTTGCCAATTTCAGAAGTGTGAAATATCTCAGTGTTGTTTGTTTTAGTTTTCTTAATCTGACTTAATTAATGAGGTTGTGAATATTTTTTGTATGTTCCTTGGCCATATTTTTTCTATAAATTGTTTATTCACTGAATCTATTTTTCTAAGTTGTCTTTTCTTATGATTCCTAACACTTAATTTCATTCCATCATGACCTCAACTTTTATAATATATATATATATATATATATATATATATATATATATATATTTACATTTTAAATTGCTGTTGAAAATCTGGACTAGTGGACTAGGGATATAGATCAGTGATAGAGCACTTGCCTAGCAAGCATGAGTCCCCGAGTCCAATCCCCAGGATCACAAAAAAACAAACTGAACCAAACAAAACAACCCCCACACCCACATCCCTGTATTAGTATCCAATCATCTTTGAAATTAAAGTTTAACAAGAATAGTCTCTGATTAAAAATTATTGTACTAGTAAAATATGCATATAAAGTACATCATTAACAAAATTAAAAGGCAAGGGAGAGAATAGAAGAAACTAATTGCAAAATACATRTCTGATAAATGACTTGTATCCAGAATATACAAATAATTCGAACACCTTGGAAATAATAAGATGAACAATCCAATCACAAAATGAAAATATTTGAATAGATATTTCATGAAAAAAAGATATGAGAATAGCTAAAAARCTCAAAGAAGGATGCTCAACATTATTTGTTATTACCAAAATGCAAATTACAACCACAATGAGATACCATTTCATACCCACTAGAATGGCTATAATAAAAAAGATAATAAAAATGTTAATGAGGATGTGAAGAAATGGGAACCCTCATATACTGCTGGTGGGGATGTAAAAAGGCATAACCACTCTGGAAAACATTGTGACAGGTCTCTTAGAAATTAAACTTAATTCAACATGTAATCTAATAACTCTCATAGGTTTTACCATGAAAATGAAAATATATGGCCATACAAAGACTTGCACATTGATGTTATTTGTATCATTATCAAAAGCATGGGATACAATAAACAAATTTGAAATGACCTRAATTTATACCTATATTTATTGGTGAYTTGTTATAGCCATATGGCAAAATACTATTTGGTAATAATAAGGGGGATATGTGCTACAATATGAGTGAAATCTCAAACATTATGCTAAATGAAAGAAGCCAGATATAAGAGACCACATATTGTATGATCATATTTACTCAAAATATCCAACATAAATTCAGAAAGTAGACGAATGGTTCTGGGCTTGAAAGACAGTAAAGGAGGTAATACTGTAGGTTCCTTTCTTGATGTAGAAAATATTCTACAGTGAAGGAGTCTTAATAGAAAATAGGCATTCTTTCGGGGGGGGGCATTGATAAGTTCTAAACTTTTTTGTGTGTGTGATAGTTATACAAGTTGTTAAGTTTCTAAAATGTCATTGAATTGTATTTATGAAATGGGTGAATTGCATGATATATAAAATTTGCCTTGGGGGACCAGGCGTGGTGGTGCATGCCTGTAATCCCMGTTGCTCAGGAGGCAGAGGTAAGAGGATTTTGAGTTCAAAGCCAGCCTCAGCAACTGTGAGGCATTAAGTAACTCAGCGAGACCCTAACTCYAAATAAAATACAAAATAGGSTTGGCTCAGTGGTCGAGCGCCCCTGAGTTCAATCACCGGTAACCCCCTCCCCCCAAAAAATATGCCTTTGTATAATTCCCTCTCCTTCCCTCTCACTACCCCCTACATACATGCACACCTGTCTTGCATTTTGAATCAGAAAAATTAAGATAAGGGAGAATTTCATATGATACCCCAAAGTTTGTCCCTTATTCTCCCTTATATTGCTCTTCTTTTTAATTGGAGAAGTAATCTAAAATACTAGGTGTCTAATTTCTTGGCTTTTACTTATACCCCTGCCCACTTGGACATAACTAAAATTTTTCTTTTCATATATATTTTACTGTATTTAGTTGATGCTAAAAGGAAAATCTGAATTTTTAATACTGACAAGTGAATTCTAGGATTTAAGTTAATAAAGGTAAAATGAAAATGATACATGATTGCCAGAGCAATGTGTAAAAACATGTATGCATGTAGATTCCTTTCTTGTAGAAAATATTCTTTCTAAATCAAAAATAGGTGAAATAATAATATTGTGAGTATTATTTTTAACAGATAACATCCATCTTTAAAGGAAAAATAAGCTGTCTAAAAAGTCAGATAATTTAAATATAAAGCATGTAATATTAAAATTGATTGAGAAGGTTTWAATTCATAAGCAAAATGTTGGCACCTCAAAAAGAGAAGGTCATATTTTGAAATGTTATTCTGTAAAAGGGTAAGGGAAGACTTAGTAAGGAGAGAAATACAGATATTAACATTAATTCATGACCTTTAAAAAAAAAAGTATAGTTGGCCATTCAAGTAGATGAGTAGTTCATATCACAATCCAGAAGAACTGTTGATAGAAATGACAAAGAATTGAAATAGGTAAAAGATAACTGTCAAGAGCAGATATATAAAACACGTGTATCATGGCTTTGGGTAGAGAATAAAAAGTGTCAAGGAAAAATGATTTTACCTGGCAAGCTTCATAAAAGAAGAACCCCAAAATAACCTAACTCCTAATTCAAGAACATTTTCAGTTTGGAAGCAGGTTGGGGATATTCTAATAAAATATTTTAACAGTTATGTGCTGTTGTCCAGCTATTTCATTCTTATAATTTGAGAGAATAGTATAGATTTAATGTTTTGTGTCTAGATCATACACTGGGCAAAGGGAACCCAGAGAGACAGATCAGTGATGTATTAACCCAAAGCAGTTAATGGCTGTGTAGTCAAGGCAAATAATGGTGAAGGAAGGAAGTCAGAGGTTAGTGCACTGATGGAAAGCTCCAAAGACAGAAGCAAGGGCCTAAGAAACGGGGTTGCACACTGAGGGATTAGGCACAGGYAGGAATAGCTACTCACAGCGGGATGATAACAAAATGTTTTATGTTGTAAACTGTTTCATGATGTGACAGCGGTCTACCAGGTTAAGGCACTAAGCAAAGCCTAGAAACCAGAATTCTATTTGCTATACCTCTGTGCATAAGAGGCCTCCTACCTGGTCATTTTGGCTCTAAGACTATTTATAGCTGGTATCTCTTATTTGCTTTTCATTGGAATGATTGTTAGTCTGGCTTCGCTGTGCTGTAGGTCACTATTTTGCATTGTTTGCACACAGCCTGCTTATCTAGAGGGTTGCTGATATTTTTATGAATGTACCTAAGGGACTTCTGAACATATGGCTCTTACACCATGCAATCTATTTCTGTTTCAGTCTGGACAGTTCTAGACGGTGCAGTCTTGCTACATGGTCTGAGAAATGGCTGTAGGAAACAACACTCAACGAAGTTATTCCATCATCCCATGTTTTATATTTGTTGAGGTATGTGTACTTTTTTAAATTTATGGTAAATTGTAATGATAGCCGATTTTATGCTGAAAGCTTGGATTGTTTTATACAGTTGTTTAATTTTAAGATTGATAGTTAAATTTTGGTAAATATTGGAAAATAATTATGTAAAATGTTTCTTAAATAGGAAGACAGAAAATAGGAAGGCTTTTAAACTTTATATTTGGGGTACAGAATAATTATTTATTTTATTTGCAATTGTGATCTGAATGTATTAACTATGAAAGAGAATGCAGCATTTTAATTAAATTCTTTTTTAAAATTCAATATCCCTTTTAAGAATTCAATAAGCAAGAATTTTACTGATGTTGTTATTTTATGATATTTTTGCCCTGGGGCCCAAATTTWAAAAAAAAAATCATAAAGTTGCCCATTTCCACTGGGTACTTTTCTTTGGTGAGGTGTTGGGAACTTATATAATGTATGGTTTCTTTTAGTCATGAATTACTTTGTTGGGTTGCTCCAGTTGTGTGCCAGAAAACAGTTTCTCCAGCATCCTTTTGGGAATTTTAGGAAATTTGGAATCACGATTTAAATGAAATAAAAATCTGTTTACCTGGTTGTCTCAGAATAAGATGTTGATTTGCCAAAGATACTGCTTTTGTCTTCTCAAGAAGATAAGGACTTAAGGGATCATTTTTCATCCTAAAGATCAAGTTTAAAATATGACAGTAAAAAGAGCTGAAGAGTCAGTGCCTGATCTTCCTGTCCGCATAGTCGCCATTCCAAGGGTCAGCTCTGGCATATTCTACCATAGGCATGTTTTTGACCTAATGTCRGAGGAACCTTCATGTTGATATATGTTATTATCTATGTGAAAACAGACACTCGGGCTACACTACCACTTAGTTAGCAAAAATGTACTTTCAGTGTATGGATTTTTTTAAATATACAGCTTATGAATCATTTTGATAATTTTCTTTAATTTAAAGTCAATTCCACCTTGAAATAAATGCATCTGTGTCTATGTATTGAGATAATTTTGAGCACTCTGAATTTTGGACAAATGTGTGTGTCTGGCTATTRTTGAGTTTCACCTTATGGATATTGGTTGGCAGTTTAATAGTACTTGAGGATTTATTCTCTGTTGATTTTCATGAACCTGTTTGTTTAACAGAATCAGGAAAAGGTAGAGAAGGTTGGGACAGAGATGCTAACTGACATAAGTCAAGAGTCAGGCAGACTCAGTCTAAGCTAAACCTCTGAGAAGATAAGCAAAGACATCAGCTCACAACAATAAACATGACTTTCTATATAGTCTGCCCTAAATGGGCTGCACAGGGCCAAACCGATCAGACAGTAGCTCCATGTTATGCATACTGTGGATTCTGGTTACTGTTCTTGTGATGAAGGAAAAGGAATTCTTATTGTTGCTGCTCATGCAGAAAGGATAGAAGGGATAGCACTACCTTTGGAACCGCTTTCTTCTTTGTCGTAAGAAACATAAAATGTTAAAGTAAGCTGGGAGAAATTGGGGAATAAGTCATTTGTCATCATCTTTATCCTCCCTCCAGGGCTTTTATCTTAGATCTTTCTCAAAAATCAAACAGAAACCAAGTCTCCGAGTAAGAGATTTAATTTATTGCTAGAATCTGTAGTCTCTGAAGGTTTTCAGCTCTCTAATGCGTGAATGATGAACTTGGCTGGTAGAGCAGCAGCTAAAGAGATAAATTAGTCCTCCTGTAGCTCACCTGGATACAAACATAATTCTAAAAGACAKCGAGGGGAGAGATAGTTTATTCTTTTTCTTGCTAGATTGTTCTTATTTTGTATGGAACTTSGAGATCTATCATGACTTCTCTCACAAACCAGCAGGAAAAAGAAAGAGGAAGTGAAGTAGAATAGRAAGAAAAATGGAGAGGATGGAGGTAAATCTCAAAGTGGCCCTATGATTCCCATGCATTTTTAATCTAATGCTTAGTTCTATCCATCATTCCAGGTATTATAATGATGGCATTAGAAAACTTGGCCAAAAACAACTTGGTTAAAATGTCAGTGGGGTCAATGAATATCTTTTCAACTGTTGTTTTTTTTTTTTAATTATAAAAGAATTTAAACATGGAAAATGAAACAGACATCTTCAAGACCAAAGCTTAAAATTTTGTCATATTTGCTTCAAATATTTTTTCAAGGAAAACAAAATTTTGCAGATATGCTAAAGTCCTGCGGTCGTGGATCCAGAAGTGCCTACATATGTGAAGCTAGAAGSTTCCTTTCCCTACATGATTCCCATGCATGTTTTGTATTTTTCTTACTATGTTCATATTTATACATAACATTTTAGGGAAATTTTACATAAATAATACCTTCTGAAAACTAACTTTTGCGGCTTGCCTTTTCATTCAACATTATASAGATTTATACATATTGACAGATCATTCACTTTTTAAAAATATTCTTTTAAATATTTATTTTTTAGTTGTTGTTGGACACAATACCTTTATTTTGTTTATTTATATGTGGTGCCGAGGATCGAACCCAGGGCCTCTCATGCTAGGTGAGCGCTCTACTGCTGAGCCACAACCCCAGCCCAGATCATTCATTTTAAACATGGCATTTTATTCTAAGTATGCAAGTATACTTCACTAAGGGACAATTTGATTCATTTGTTTGCTTAATTTATTTTTTTTTTTTTACTCTTAACAATTTTTTTGAAAGTATCCTTATTTCTAGTTTTGTGTGCATTTATATAAGAGCTTCCTTGGATTGACACTTGCAGTAGAATTGCTAGGGGATCAGAACATGTTTGTTCTAGATGTTTGTTGCTACAGTATARGATATTTGTATGTGAATTTTCTTGAAGAAACTTCTAAAAGCTCTATTTTTAATTTTATGAGTGTGTCTGTATATTTTGTAGAATTTTTCACATGATTGCATTATCTACAAATAATGGACTTTTTCTTTTTTAGTTGTTATGCCTTTAATTCTTATTGCTTTGTTAAGACTGCCTGTATAATGTTGGATAGTGGTAACATAGAAAACATATTTCTCTTGTTACTGACTTTAAAGAGAATACCTCAGGTGTTTCATTATTAAATTATGAATAAGCATGATGTTTTTTCCTATTCTCTGCCTTTTAGATTAGATCACTTCATTTGTTTTAATCCCATTCCCCCCTTATTGGCCAAAATGATTACATTTCAAGTATTTTTACAATTATTCTTAAATTCTAAACATATATTTGGCTTAAAATGAGATTCATCAATTGTTCTGTCATTCTCTTGAACAATTAATGAGTTTTCTTATGTTACTTTGAATGCTTGTATTTTGTTGTTGTTGTTATTTTTGGTACTGGGGATTGAACCCAGGAGTGTAACCACTGTGCTAWATCTCCAGACCTTTTTATTTTGAGACAGCATTGCAATAAGTTGTGTAGAACCTTGCTAAATTGCTAAGGCTGGCCTTGAACTTGCAATCCTCCTGTCTTAGCCTCCCAAGCCTCTGGGATTACAGGTGCACCACTATATCTAGCATTTGTATGTCATTCTTGATTTTAAATCAAGTAAAATAATAGCAAATTTTTCACTATCTTTTTCAATGAGGGTTTCTTTACATTTATTCCATGTTTATTTTCTCGATTGCTATTGCTGCTTTTATTCCTTTCCTCTTTCAATTTCCAATTGAAGTTTATCCTTTGGTAGTTTTTTCAACAAAGGTCCTATAGATAATAAATATTCTTAACATTTACCTGACGTTGTCTTTATATTGTAATTAATCCGAAATGGYAATCTACCTTGACATTGAATTCTAGATAAATTTATTTTTCTATCTCATAGCTTTAAAATTATTTTATTATTATTATTACAAAATAATCCACTTTTTCTTTCCAGTTGCTTTTTTTTGCTCTTTTCCTTTGGTGTTCTGCATTTTCTAACTGTGAATTTATACTGGCCGTGACCTGTTTTACTTCTCGACTAAGAAGTCATATTTGTCACTAATCCTATAGCCTGTCAGCTATCATCWCTTCAGACAGTATCCCTATTCTTTTTACTATAACATTTATTTGATATACCTTGTATCTTCTGATTCTTTCTATATTCCCTGTCTCTTTACTCATCTTGTTCAATTTCCAGAAGTTCTACATGTATTTTAAAAACCTGTCTATTTTATAATGTTTGTTCATGTGTTTATGTTTTTGTACCTTATCTATCTTCAATTATTTAAAAATTTTAAAAATCTTCAGTTTTTTATGTTCTGAAATTATTGTACTCTGGTCCTCCTGTTGCATCTCCTGTCTCCAGCTTATAGTGGATTGTTGCCTTATTTATTTTTGTGGTTTTTCTAAAACTAATTTTTGGTAGAACTTACTTCTATAGGATTTATGTGGGGCTTTAGGTTTGGAGAACATCACTTTGAAATGATTTCCCATAAAGTTTCCCTTGGGCTTGTGCCATATATTCAGAATCCCAATTTGCACAATCCCAAAGTATACTTAGTCAAAATTCATCTGTCTTGTGGTCTTCCTATGCTATCAGGTGGATTTACATAAACATTTTTCCTTTGAAGTGAAAAGCAAGTTTTCAGAAATCCTGGATTGTATGCAGGAGTCTCAGTTCTGACCAAGTCCCCATTTCCTATTCCCAGCAGCATTAAATCCCAAGCTCTGGTACTGAGATTGACATGTACCCCTTTCTCTACCCCCACCTAGGTGTACTGTAGCATCAGTTTATTCTGTGACCACTCTTGATTTTTGGGTACCCTTTTGTGAATTAGAAAGAAAGCTAACCATTGCTGATTTTTGCAGTGGAATGTTGTCAATTCATTTTTTTGTTCTATAAATGTCTTCATTCATTCATTCATTCATTCAGTGAAAACTTAGTCAGTATCTATTTATTGTTACAAGGCATATGTGTTTTGCCCTTTCTGGATACTTCACATAGTAACTATGTTCTGTAACTTAGATTTCACTAAGTTCTTTGTACAGCTAAAATTGTTGGGCCATGCCTTAAATATGTGTGGGGGATACAGGCCTG